TTTTTAGTCTTCAGTGACCTCCTGCTGTAATGTGAATCAACAAGGAGTTTGTACCTGGAAGCACATACACAGTGTAGCATTGGTAACTCAGACCCAAAACTCAAGGCAAAGCTTTGATTACTCTACTAACACTTCAGAGTTGAATTAAGTGAAAATCTGGAAAACTAACACTTGTCAATGTATGAGAAAAACATTATTTCAGGTTAAACATTAGTGCTGAAATATTTGACACAGCCATGTTTCAGAGCTACTTCATTTTTGAGGAAAGAGCAATTCCTTCAGAAAAAAACCCCATGCAACATGAACAAGTTAGGTCAGTTAACTGAGAAACAATATTAGAGTCACCAGAAATCAAGGGAAAATACAGCAAAACCTCCATCACACTCACCTGGATCCAGGATGAAGAATGGCTCAACTTGCATCCTCCAGGTTGAAGAAATATTTCAACTTACCATTGAAAAAATAGATTTTTAATGCCTTCCACAGCACATCTCATGTAGCCAACCCTGAATTCAAAATACTCTGAGAACTTACACACAGTTCTACCTCTGCACTGCAAGAACAGAGTTCTGGGCACACATGGGCTCAGCAGGTGGAGCCAGTGGAGATGCCACGTGAATCACTAACCAACAGGACTGGTACTCCCCCACCAAACACCTATTTCTCCACACACAGCTGCAGCAGCAGCCTGAGCTTCCTGGAAGCTCTCACCAGACCAGTGGACTGTAAAAAGATCCCACCCTGTGGGTCAACATTCCAACATGGACAAGGCTACTGTTTCAAAAATGGAAATATTCAGCCTACTGAAGGACTTCAGTACCATACATGTGTTAATGTCCAGTTGGAGAACTGGATGCACAGTGAGTAACTAATACTTTGTGCTCCTCCCAACTTCCCCAGTAAGTATTGTTCATAAACATAGAGTAAGTTATCCTGCACCTCAGTTTTCTAAGGAACACCTGCAAAAAATAACCACTGAGACATAAAGGGTAAAAATATTAACATTCCTCTGACATATTGGTAAAACCCATTTATAATTGCTTTTAAATTAACCAGAAGGTTCATGTTGGATATCTGGAGGCAGAAAAGGAATTCTCCAATGGTTGGTGATCAACTCTACAACCTGAT